GAATGCCTTGTTTCCCTGGCATTCAGCTCCCAAACTAGCTCTCCTTAACTAGCAAAAATTTCTTTTTTAATCAACTCAGATGCGATGCTAAATAAACTCTGTTTTAGGCAAATTATGGTTCTATGTTGGGCCTGATTTCATATTACATTTCTTTAAGAATTTACAGCATATCAAACTTGACATCATATACTCACTATATATTGCTAAAGGTAGATGATATTTACAATATTGTGAACTTTAAGCCAGCAGCCTTAATTCAAGTGTATGTTTTTTTCATTATGGTTGAAAAGCTATCAGGCTTAACTAATCAAGGTGTATTGCTTTTATTAGTAAAAGAACTGCTAACATAGCTTAGTTTGCTACTGCTGTCTTAGTAGTGATGTTTCTTGTGTTGCACAAGTAGGCCCTTCCAATCCCAGCAGAGCTACAATTACAGGCAAATCTGTGGGAAGATCAGCTACTTCCCGCAGAAATCATGCTCCTTAGGTAGGGTCATCACAGAGGATAGAAATTAAATGGAAATAGAATGGAGATAAAGAATACACAGAGACAAAGGTATAGTTTATGATTTATATAAAGAATTAGCTAAAGCGAGGGTACTCAGGGTCCCATGACAACCAGTCAGTTTGGGCCAGGAGCAAAGTTCACAAATTTTATAATCACAAATACCAGTTATCGGTGTCAGGGGTAACAGATTACATCATAACAGATGGTTCGGTGCTAGGTAACAGATTTACATAACAGGTAGTTGGGTTCCAGGAGTAACAGATCTACATAAAACAATAACAGGTAGGTGGTTTGGATATAAGGTTACAAAGGGCTTCTAAAAATCTCTATCTAGATAACAAATGGTTACAAAATCTTTCAAGGACTAATTCTAATGATAACTATTATTTAACAGAAGAGTAATACAGAATATAGTGGCTCCATATTTCTTTATCTAGTTATTGTGGATTGAGACAGACAGCACAAGCAGGAAGCTCAGCTCTTTATGCTAATTTGCTCTTAGCGCAGGGGTACGTCTCTGGGCTGGCGCTCATTGTTCAGGATCCCCCCAGTCCCCAAGTATAAACCTGCCTTGTCTTTCAAGAACAGGGAGTGCGCCACAGGATAGAGATATCAGAAGCCTCCTAGAAGGCATAGCATTGATACCTGGAACTCTGATAGTCCTCCTAGGTGAGGCAGCTTTCATATGCAAACTAACCAGTTCATATATTTCTTCAGGGCAAAGCCCTACAAAACTCCTGAAATCAATTCTGTCTTCAATATAGCAATGTTGGGCCGATACAATAATAAATAATCTTATGAGCCCACCTCTCATAATTTCTAATCATCTTTCCTCAACAAGAAATCTAGGCAATGTGGCTTTCACATGAGTTTCATAACACTATCTGACAGAGTGGTAAGTGCAGGGCAGTGTCTGCCAATAATCTTTTCCTTATGGAGCCTTTGATAACAAATTCAGTTTTAACAAGGTCCTGTTGCGGTAAGTGACATAATGGTTAAGTGACATTTTCTTCCAAAAATAAATCTATATGTTATACTGAATTGTTTCATCTGAAATGCTAGATTTCAAAGTATTACTGACATAATTTTTTTTTTTTTTTTGAGACAGAGTCTCACTTTGTTGCCCAGGCTAGAGTGAGTGCTGTGGTGTCAGCCTAGCTCACAGCAACCTCAATCTCCTGGGCTCAAGTGATCCTTCTGCCTCAGCCTCCCGAGTAGCTGGGACTACAGGCATGCGCCACCATGTCCAGCTAATTTCTTTTGGTATACATATTTTCAGTTGGTCAATTAATTTCTATTTTTGGTAGAGACAGGGTCTCGTTCAGGCTGGTTTCCAACTCCTGACCTTGAGTGATCCACCTGCCTTGGCCTCCCAGAGTGCTAGGATTATAGGTGTGAGCCACCACACCCAGTCTTCTTTTCTTGGCACATAATATTTTACATATTTATGGGTACATGTGAGTATTGCACATGCACAAAATGTATAATGATCAAATCAGGGTATTTGGTGTACCAATCATCTCTGGGATCTATCATTTCTCTATACTGGTAACATTTCAAAGTCCTCTCTTCCAACTACTTTGAAATATAAAATATATTTTTCCTAATTATAGTCACCCTAGTCTAGGGCTTTCAAACATTAGAACTTATTCCTTCAATCTAAATAAGGAATAAATTTGTATATAGTCACCAATGTCTCTTCATTTCCCCCTTCCACTCTCACATTCTATTCTCTATATCGCGGGGATCAAGCTTTTTAGCTCCCACATGAGTGAGAACAGGCAGTATTTGTCTAGGCACACCTGGCATATTGCACTTAACATGATCACCTCCAGTTCCGCCCACATTGCTGGAAATGACGTGATTTCATTCTTTTTTTTTTAGGATCCAATAGTATTCCATTGTGTATATTCTACACATTCTTTATCCACTTGTCCACTGATGGACACTTAAGTTGACTACACACCTTTGCTATTGTGAATAGTGCTGAGATAAACATGCAAGTTCAAGTACCCCTTTTTTTCTTTTTTTTTTGAGACAGAGTCTTATTCTGTTGCCTAGGCTAGAATGCTGTGGCATCAGCCTAGCTCACAGCAACCTCAAACTCCTGGGCTCAAGCGATCCTCTTGCCTCAGCCTCCTGAGTAACTGGTACTACAGGCATGCGCCACCATGCCCAGCTAATTTTTTCTATATATATTTTTAGTTTGCCAATTAATTTCTATTTTTAGTAGAGACAGGGTCTCACTCTTGCTCAGGCTGATTTCGAACTCCTGACCTTGAGTAATCCTCCCGCCTCAGCCTCCCAGAGTGCTAGGATTACAGGAGTGAGCCACCACGTGCAACCTATTTTATTTTTTTAAGACAGACAATCCTTTCAGGTATTTATAGGTAAATGAAAATACTGAAGGATTTCCCACATATTCTATCGTCATAGACTTTTCTTCAAGTGAGTCCTTTCTTGTCTATGAAAGGAACTGAAATAACGGAATGCTTTCTCACACTCCATACATTCATAGGGTTTGCAACCCTTTAATATTTATGACAGGCACTGGAACAATTGAATAGTTTCCCATATTTCTTACATTCACGTGGTTTCTCTCCAGTATGAATTCTTTCATGTATTCTAAAGCAACTGGAATGACTGACGGCTTTGCCATATTGCTTACATTCATACGGTTTCTCTCCAGTGGGAGTGCTTTTATGTCTTTGAAATGAACTGGGAGATTCAAAGCTTTTCCCACATATCTTACATTTATGAGGTCAATCTCCAGTGTGTTATCATGTGTCTTTGAAAGCTTCTCAGATAAGAAAATGCTTTCCCACATTACCCACATTACTTACTATCATAGGGTTTTTACCCAGTGTGGGACTTTTCATGTTTATGAAGGGCACTGGAACAACTGAATGGTTTCCCACATTTCTTACATTCATATGGCTTCTCTCCAGTATGAATTCTTTCATGTACTGTAAAGTAACTGGAACGACTGAAGGCTTTGCCACACTGCTTACATTCATAGGGTTTCTCTCCAGTGTGAGCCCTTTCATGTCTTTGAAATGAACTGGGAGAATCAAAGGTTTTCCCACACACCTTACATTTAAGAGGTCCGTCTCCAGTATGTGTTATCATGTGCCTTCTAAAGCACGTGCGGAAAGAAAATGCTCTCCCACATTGCTTACATTTATAGGGTTTTTCTCCAGTGTGACTCCTTTCATGTTCTTGAACAAAAAAGGCACAACTAAAGGCTTTCCCACACTGTTTACATTTATAGGGTTTCTCTCCACTGTGAGCTCTTTCATGTTGTACGTAGGAATGGAAATTAGTGAAGGCTTTAGAACACTGTTCACACTCATATACTTTGTCTCCGGTATGAGATCTGTTATGTATACGAAATAAACAATACAAATTAAAGGTTTTCTCACACAACTTACATTTAAAAGGTCCATCTCTACTGGACCTTATCTTGTGTTTTTGAAGGTTTGCACGGACAGTGAAGGTTTTTCCACATTCCTTACAATCAAAGGATTTCTCTCCAGTGTGAGGCCTTTCATGTGTTTGAAAGGAGGGGCCATAACTGAAGGGTTTCTCACATTGTTTACGTGTATCTGGCTTCTCTCCGTATTCCTGAAACTCATATGGTTTGTGTCTAGTGTCCGCTCTGATGCAGCGATTAACAGATGAATGACCATTGCTGCCTCCTCCACACACACGGCTTTCACCTGGTTTTACTCCAGAAACAGTTTTCTTGTTCACAATATCATCTGGAATCTGACTCAAGGTGTCTCCATCTTGACTTCCTTCTTTACTTTCAAAAAATCTCTCTACCATAAGACTTCTGTATAAAATGAGAAACACATTATTAAGGGTTTGTTTATAAATGATCTCATCTTTCTTAGCAGATATTTACATTTTCAACATTATAGTGGAACATGTAGGCTCGACCCATTGTTTCAATTATTTAAACATGAATAAACTGAATACTGTGCAAGGTAAATGCAGCTCTTATCAAGATAATGATATTTATATGAGGTTTCTTTCTTTATTTTTTGAGACAGGGTCTCATTCTGTTGCCTAGGATAGAGAAGAGTACATTGGCATCATCACAGGTCACTGCAACCTCAAACTCCTGGACTCTAGCAACCTTCCAGCCTCAGTCTCCCAAGTAGCTAGGACTACAGGTGCCCACCACCACACCAGGCTCATTTTTTTTACATTTTGTAGAGATAGGGTCTTGCTTTGTTGCTCAGCCTGATCTTGAATTCCCAGCCTCAAGCCATTCTCCCGCCTCAGGCTCCCAAAGTGCTAGGATTATAGTTTCCAAGGGAACTATATCGCAAACATTGGATATCTATGTCACATATAAGTTTGGGGAAAAATTTTCTAAAAACAAATAATGTTTAAGCAGGGCTTATTCTTCTTCTCTGCTTGTTTTTAAGATTTCTTGTCATTCTAGGATTCTCTCTAGGGACAAGGATTTCTTCTGTGAGTGCAAATTACCTTAGATTTCTCCTGGGATTTTTGTACTCATCTTCAATATTCTGGTCTTCCCATTTTATTCCTAAAATGTAGATCCATAAATAACATTACTACAAAATTATAAGAACTCTGTCAGATTTTTATTCATGGTACATTTCAGCCATGCATGACTTATCAACAAAGTACAGCTGACCCTTAAACAACAAGAGTGTGACCACACAGGTCCACCTATACTAGGATTTTTTTTAGCCTCTGCCATCCCTAAGACAGCAAGACCAACCTCTCCTTTTCTTCAGCCTACTCAAGGTGAAGAAAAATAAGAACGAAAACCTTAATGATGATCCACTTACACTTAAAGAATAGTAAATTTAGTTTCCCTTCCTAAAGATTTTCTTTTTAAAATTTTCTTTCCTCCAGCTTCCTTTACTGTAAGAATACAGAATCAAATACATATAACATACAAAATATGTGTTAATCAATTGTTTATGTTATTGGTAAGGCTGCCTGTCAACAGAAGGCTTTAAGCAGTAAAGTTCTAGCGGCAGTCAAAAGGTATATGAGAATTACAACTGCTTAGGAATTCAGCACCCCAAACCCTTGAGTTGTTCAGGGGTCAACTGTTTTAATGTTCTATATTGCAAATCATTAAATAGCAATGATGACCAAGAAACATTTGTTTGCTAACTGACTAAATGAGAAAATGATGGCATCCTTACCTACATAGGCCAGGTTCCTGAAGGTTTCCTGCATCACATCTCTGTAAAGATTCTTCTGTGAAGAACCTAGCAAAGCCCACTCTTCCCAAGTGAAGGTCACAGCCACATCTTCAAAGGTCACTGAGTCCTAAACACCCCATGTGTGTAGAGGAAGAAGGTTAAAACTCAGCACTGGGGATCTATACTCACTTCAGAAGAACTTCACATAATACTGTAGTTTCCCAACATTTATTCTATGACTTGGGAATCCGACCACTACTCTCTGTAAATACTCATTTGCTACCACACCACAATTTTGATGCTGGAATTGAACATGTTCAGTAAAGTCACAGCTGAATAGGAGCATGCCTCTTGTTGAGTTATGGGAGTGAGATGATCTGCCTGGATCACCCTTAATATCTATTTGTACAATGGGTCTGTAGTTCCTGTCTTGAAAAAGTCCAACTGCCTGTTATGCAGAAGAGAGTTAACATTAGCAGTCCTGAGACTGCACATCCTTACAAATGCTTGTTCACAGAGTTCAGGCATTGATGTTATCTAGGCATGGGATTTAGGGATGGGCCCTACCAATGTAACTAAAAACAGGAGCTGACAGTGGTTAGACTGTTTACATAAACAACATGGTATTTGCTTCGCTCCGGTCTTCCCTAAGAGGTTGGAATTTTAAAAGCTTGGCAGAAGGACCCTACCTGAAATTGAATCAACAACTCATAAATGTCCCAAGAAAAAGCAACAGGCCCAGATGGTTTCACTGGTGAATTCTGCCAAACATTGAACAAATGAAACCAATTCTATACAATATCCTCCAGGAAACAGAAGCTGAGGTAACACTTCCTACTTCATATCATAAGGCCAACATTGCTCTAATACCAAAACTAGACAGACGTTACAGACATTTTCTCTCCCATGTGAAGATATAACGGGAAGACTGCCATCTGCAAACCAGGAAGCAGGTCCTTAGAAGAGATCTGGCCTGCTTGAACTTGGATTCCCACCCTCTACACGTTTGAGAAATGTTTCTTTCTTGTTTAAGGCATGCAGTATATGGCAATCTGTTAGAGCAGTTGTAACTTGACTAAGATAGAGAAGCTCTTTCTCAAACACACATCAAGGTTTTGAAGTCTACAGTAATCAGGAGAGCATGGAATTAGCAGAGTGATGGATACATAAACCAATGGAAAATGGCCAATCTGAAATAAGAGCATCTACTTAAGGGACAAGAACCTATGGTGGAGCAGGTATTGCCAGGCAGTGACAGAAATGAGAGACAGTTCAACACAAGGGACAGGAATAAATGATTACCTACAGAATAATGAATCGTGTACTCATCATCTCCAAATATGATAATCAATTAATTATAGGTTTGACTGTTGTAGAGAATTCTTATAGTTTTATGTTATCTTGGCATCCATTTTATTTATTATTTTTCACCCAGGCTGGAGTGCAGTAGTGTGATCATAGCTCATAGCAGCCTCAAACTCCTGCCTCAGCCTCCAGAGTAGATAGAACTACAGGCATGAGCCACCACACCCAGCTAACTTTTTCTATTCTTAGTAGAGACAGGGTCTGGGGCTTGCTCAGGGTGGTCTTGAACTCCTGACCTCAAGCGATCCTCCCACCTCAGTCTCCCAGAGTGCTAGGATTACAGGTGTGAGCCACCTTGCCTGGCCTCATTTATATATATATATATGTGTGTGTGTGTGTATATACATATATTTATTTATTAGCATCAGAGGTACCACACTGAAACATCCATTTTAAAGATGGGTTTAATTTTCTCATACCAGGTAAAGAGTTTTTATCACCTTTGACAGTTTCCAGTTCACTACCTCCTCCTACTTCCTCAATGTGCTGATCCAGACATCTGCCTTATACAACCATGTCCTTGTCCACCTCCTTGTGGGACAACTTGATACAAACATACTTGACTTACCCCACTGTCCCCCACAACCACAGGTACTGCAGCTATGCAGCAGTGACCACCTGTGAGTCACAGTGTGACGCCAGAGAACTCATGCCTGCTTCTTCTATTCCAATTATTAATAGAACTCACCAGGGAAAATCTTCTTGGGCAATATCCTGGAGCCCAATAAAGGCCAAGGCCCAAGGGCTCCCCTTCCACTCTTGCCCCTCTTCCATCAGTTGTTTGTGCAGGTCCAGATAGCTCCTCAATACCTCCTGGCTTACAACACACGCTACCCTCCCTTCTCTCTGGAATCTCTAATTAACACACAGTTTCTGTTACTTCCTGTGTTTTCTTGACTTACCTCCTGTGTCTCACCTGACCCACACACCTGAACTGAATTTCTATCCAGCTCAGGGCTCTCTCGGTAGGATTGTCTTGGCATTCACCATTTTGGTAGGAATAAATGGAAACTGGTCAGACAAGAGCCACAAGGAATTTTCCAGCGTGAACAAGTTTCCTGTGAGAGGGAAACTTGGTCATCAGTCTGATACTTAGGTATTAGGTCCTCTGCCAGGATTTAAAAAAAAATCCTGGGAAAGGTACAATGTAAACATCCACAACCAACTCCTGCTGGAGCCCCAGCACAGCAGGGCTAGTGTTCACAGTTAATTCCAGAGAGAGGGAGACACCTCAAGTTCAAATTAGAAAAACATACACCACCTGTGAAAAAGAAATAGAAAACTGGCCAGTTGTGGTGGCTCATGCCTGTAGTCCTAGCTCTCTGGGAAGGTGAGGCAGGAGGATCACTGGAGCTCAAGTGTTCGAGACGACTCTGGGCTACACCACCCTGACTCTACCAAAAACAAAAAGAACTAGTCGGGCGTGGTGGCACGAGCCCACCTACTTGTGAGGCTGAAGCAGGAGGATCGCTATGAGCTATGAAAAAGTAGAGAAGAAAGAGAAGGAAGAGGCTGGCACGGTGGCTCATGCCTGTAATCAATCCTAGCACTCTGAGAGGCCGAGGCGTCCGGATTGCTCGAGGTCAGGAGTTCGAAACCAGCCTGAGCAAGAGCGAGACCCGTCTCTACTATAAATAGAAAGAATTAATTGGCCAACTAAATACATAGAAAAAATTAGCCGGGCATGGTGACACATGCCTGTAGTCCCAGCTGCTTAGGAGGCTGGGGCATAAGGATTGCTTGAGCCCAGGAGTCTGAGGTTGCTGTGAGCTAGGCTGACGCCACAGCACTCACTCTAGCCTGGGCAACAAAGCCAGACTCTGTCTCAAAAAAAAAAAGAGAGAGAGAGAAGGAAGACAAGAGAAGAAAAAGAAACGAAACAAAAGAAAGCCTAGGGACAGAGATACTGTTGCCCTGAATTGAGCAGTGGAAGTTAGCATTACGAAACGCTGGGAAGGAGCTGGAACCAGCCCTAGGAGGCGTTGGCTTGGGTGGACAGGGCGGTGGATTTGAGAGCCTGCCTTCCGCACTTTTGGAAGACTGAGGGGAAACGTTCGCCATTTGGAACAAAAAAGAGACGGAGGGCTCCGCAGGCCGCAGCGCCGCCCACGCACGACCCCCACACTCCGACTCGGCCCCTCCCCCAGGACCCTCCCGCTGCCACATCACAGCCTGGGGACGCGCGGGGCTGCGGGCGCGGGGCCGCCCCGAGAGGGCGCCAGGGTCGCCGCGCAGGGACCGGACGGGACGCCCGGGGGCCCGGCTGCCGGCCCGGCCCCACCCCGCCGGCCGGAGGGCCCGAGGGCCGAGCAGCGCCCGCGGCGACTCCAGTCCACAGACGCCAGAGCGGACCGCAGAGAGGCCCTGGTCCACTACAGCCCCGCCTCCCAGTCTGGGGACGCCCAGCCACGCACACTCACCATTTCCCAGCTTCCAGGTGCTTCAGGGGCTCCTCTGGCTCCCGCTGCCAGTTCAGGTCACAGTGCGACAAGCGCTGCCACAGACCCACCCGGAGCGCCTCAGAGTGCAGAGCCGGAACCCAAGCGCCGGGCTGGGGAGGGGGAATCCGGGGCCTTTTGAACCTCGCCGCGCCCTCCCGGCGTCCTCTGGGCGAGGCGTCTGATTGACAGATCTCACGACCCCGCCCTGCTGTCCCTGATTGGACAGTCCTCCAGGTCCCGCCCCCTGGGGAACTGAGTGACAGAAGAAACGTTCCTACACTAAGTGGAGCCAGATGACCGGTTCCAGACACAGCCCGTTGGCCGGGCGGGCTTCCTCCCTTCCCTGTGACCTCACCCCCTCCCAGGGGACATTTGTATTTAAGCAGAATTTCCATATAGTACTCAGTGGCCCTTTGCTGCTTCTTCCTGGAGAGGTGTCACTGGTGTGTGCAGAAAATTCCACATTCACTGTCCAAATGGAGCCATCTTTTGCCTTAGAGCGGGGAGTGGTGCCCAGGCCACACCTGGCCTCCAGGAGTCAGGAATTTGAGATGAGGCTGTTGGCAGCCTGGCCAAGGCTTCCTTACACATTCTCTCTCAATCTAATCATTTTCAGCCAGGGAAATAAAAACACACCAAAAACAGAATAAAATGATTAAATGTATGGAAAAACTGGAATTGCATGGCTACAATATTTTATAAAGGACTCAAAAGAAATGTGAACTAGCACAGATAGGCAGCCTGCTGCACCCACAGTTCACAAGCAAACCCCCATTCAGGAGATCAAACATAGTCCCAAACCTGGGAGCCAGGTCCTGACTGCTGAAATGGACCCCAGAATGTATTAGAACCTGGTGATGGGGCAGGGACACTTAAGAATTTAACTCTGGGAACTCAACATACCCTCCTGTCCCCTCTACAGAGTGTGTATTATCTCCTAAACAGAGATATTCGTTCACTTGGAGGATGTAAGTCAATAGATGTAGCCATGTTGGCTATAGTAAAGGGGCTTCATTACTTGACACAAATAAAGAGTACACTAGGGATAATTCCCAAAGCAGTGTGTCCCAGAACAAGAAGGTTGGCCTGGTTTTATAGTCAGAGGGTAATGAAGCATGATCTGATAGAGTTTGAGGATCTCTTGATGCCAAAAGTTGGAGACCAGCCAGGGTAACATAGTGAGAACCCTGTCTCTACTAAAAATTATCAAGATCTGGTGGCATGTGCCTGTAGTCCTAGCTACTGGGAAAACTGAGCCAAGAGGATTGCTTGAGCTGAGGAGTTTGAGCCTGCAATGAGCTATGATGATGCCATTGCACTCTAGCCCAGGCAACAGAGACCCTGTGTCAAAATAAAATACAATAAAATTCATTTGGAGTTTCTAGGGAACTCTAGTACCAAACAATCTTGAAAGAGAACAATGTGGGAGGACTCACAATTCCTGATTTCACAACTTATTACTAAACTAGAGTAATCAAAAGAGCATGGGACTGGCATAAGGACAGACAGGCCAATGGAATAGAACAGACAGCCTAGAAATAAACACTCACATATATATAGTCAAATGAATTTTGACAACAGTGCCAAGATAATTCAATAGAGAAGGCACCATGTTTTACAAAATGATGTTGGGAAAACTGCATGTCTACATGCAAAATAATAAAAGTGGACCACCCTTTATATCATGTATGAATGTCAACACTTATTGGGAGGATGACTTGAGCCCAGGAGCTGCAGAGCAGCCTAAGCAAGAGCCAGACTCCTGTCTCCACTAAAAACAAAATACAAAAATTAGCCATAGTGGTGCGCGCCTGTAGTCCCACCTACTGGAGAGGCTGAGGTAGGAGGATTGATTGCTTGAGCCCAAGGTTACAGTGAGCCATGATGATGCCACTGCATTCTGGTCAGGATGACAGAGAGAGATTCTGCCTCAAAAAGAAAAGAAATGCACGTCTCAGGCTTTATACCTGACCTGTTGAATTTGAAGATCTGCAGTTTTCTCTGAAAGTAGGAGAGCATCTTACAAGCTTGTCCCTCGTCAGGATTCAGCCATAAGGGTATTTTATATTTCTCAGTTCTGGGACATTTGAATCATCAGTGAGTCCAAGGCTGGGGGGACCCAGGTGAACGCTAATGGGATGGTCTAACACTGGGAAACAAGTCAAGTGAGACAGTCCCTGATGGCATGGAGGAGGACGCTACTGAAATGCAAGGGCAGGCCCTACTGGGCAGTCGCCACGTGCACCACCACACTCACAGGGCCTATGGCCGTCGTCGCGCATGCGCACTGCGACTCCGCCGCCGGGCTCGTGTTTGAGTATGCGCGCACAGTAACAAGCATCCCAAGAAGGCGGGGCCGGCCGTGGTGGGCGGAGCGATGGAGAATGAGAAGTGACGAGCTTCTGCCAGAACCCGGAAGTCGGTGTCTGCTAGGTGAACAGCTTAATGTGCACAGGCACGTGCTGATGAGAGCGTCGGGCAGGCAGGCATTGGAGCCACATGGTGGAGTTATTATTGCGTTTTGGGTGGACGTGGGCCATCTTCCTGGTTTACAGGTGGATCCCTTCCTGCTGCATCCTCACATGGAAGAGAAACACACAGTGTTATCTCTCCACTCTTCTTAGTAGGCCGCTAATCCCATCATGAGGTCCTTCGCTCATTGACTCACATATCTCCCAAAGGCCCCATGTCCAAATACCATCACGCTGGGGTAACAGACTTCAAAATACGTATTTAGGGGTAGACTAAATTCAGTAAAGAGGTAAATAGAGGGGAGTTCAGAAAAGGGGCTTTTGGCTTATGTAAGCAGATTGGACGTTATGGATTAGATGGTGAGCAACCTTCAACAGCAAAGAGAGGCATAATTTCAGAGTGCCAGAGAAAAGAGACACTGAGGTAGCTGTATATTTGCATGGAGAAACAAAAAGTGATGCCATGGCAACCATCTGGGAAATTGCCATAATTATCAAGGAAAAAGAAATGAAAACTTTTAAAAATTGGCAGTGAAAATTAAAAACAATGCTTTTAAACAAGAACAGACTCAATTAAAAGCTATAAATTAGGAATTCTATCATGATAGAAACTATGTGTTGGGCAGCTTTATTTTCCCCAGACCTTACAGATGTTCAGTGAATACTGGCTGGAAAAATGAGCACAGCCTTGTGGTAAGTCAAGTTCTAAGAACCGAACTTTCCTAAAACTTCATTTAATTTTAAAACCTAACTTAGCTTATGAGTAACGATGCACCTGTATATTTATTGTTCAAACATGGACACTCATGACAAGAAGAGGTGCTCTGAAAAATTATGGAGGGATTACATGAATACTCAAGAGCTTATCCCTGGCTAAGTAGGATACATAATTAGATGACTTCAGACAGTTTTGTACATTATAAAAGGGCCTACTTGGAGAACTTGCATATCTCAAATAGTGGACTGTCAGAATAGTAGCCATTATTCCATCTTCCTTGCCATTCAATTATTTATGAGTTGCATCAATAATCTTTCTGTACACAACCAAGTTGCTTCTTTCTTAGTGGTTCTCAAGAATTAAATTTAACATTGTGGCATTCAAAATATATATGCATCTTTTTTTTTAGTACTTGTAACCATGGTCTTACATATACAGTGTGTAAAAGATTCAAACGACTTATAGAAACTCATAAAGACAGTAAATGAAAGAATATAACTTATGTTCACATTTGAAATTGTTATGTCCTTTTCAATAAAATTTCATGAATTGGGTGTTAATTTGTTGGTGCAGGAATGAATTCACAAGTTTTTCTCTTAAAAACATCATATTTTCAACATAAGTTCATTAATCCTACGGATTTTTTTTTCTTGTTTCTTTTCTGACCTTGCTTTATGAGAAACTGAGAATATAAAAATGTGTATCTAAAAATGTAAGGCAGTTTTCATATGTCAAGAACTGAAATAAAATATGAACAATATAACAAGAATATCATATTCACACCTAATAATTCCTTAATATCAATTGAAAGAGTAACATGAAGTGTCACTAATTGTATAAAATTTAACTGTGAGAGGTAAAAGACTCCCTTTCGTGTGGAAAATGTAATGTGGAAATACACTTCATTTTGTCCAGCGTAATGTGCACAGGCATGCACATTAAACATAGGAGAAAATGTAACCTTGAAAATAGTTGCCAAAATAACTTTTGATTCTAAATTGCTGAAACTCACAAATTGTAGCATTGCTTTTCTAATCAGCTGCAGACCAGAATGTGCCATAGACAAAGTATCAGGACTCAGGCAGGAAGAGGTGGCTCATGCCTGTAATCCTAGCACTCTGGGAGGCTAAGGCGGGAGGATCGCTCAAGGTCAGGAGTTTGAAACCAGCCTGAGCAAGAGCAAGACCCCGTCTCTACTATAAATAGAAATTAATTGGCCAACTAAAAATATATAGAAAAACTCAGCCAGGCATGGTGGCACATGCCTGTAGTCCCAGCTACTCAGGAGGCTGAGGCAGGAGGATTGCTTGAGCCCAGGAGTTCGAGGTTGCTGTGAGCTAGGCTGATGCCAGGGCACTCTAGCCCAGGCAACAGAGTGAGACTGTCTCAAAAAAGTATCAGGACTCAAATAGAACACAACATTACTGCCTTCCAAAAGTGGTGAGCTTCCTGGCTTATGAACACTCTTTGGGCCAGTGCTTCAATGTCCTCTCTGGGGTGATCCTTGGGGTTTTGTGAAGCATCAAGGCACTCCCACAGTCAAGGCCAACAATGAGGCTTTCAGCTGTGTCCTGTTATGTCCCTCACCCTGTGCTTCCATCATCCCTTACCCCTGATTGGCCATCCCAAAACAGCCACATGCATCCTTTGGAAAATCATATTTGTGGTCTTGTTGATGGTGGTGTTTCTACTCTGTAGCAAGCGCTATCACTGTGGATTTGGCTCTCAAGGGAGAAAGATGAGACAATGGTTGGTATCAGAAGCATCCTACTCTGACAATGCCACCTCCTCGATTCACTTGACTCTCGGTACAATCTGACAATGAATCCACCCTTCACTCACGTGGACACATTATCTGGGCCTGGATATGTGATCTCCATACAGTCAGGGCTTGGTCACTGATTGCTGCTTTCCTGTGATACCTGGACTCTGAGGAGTTTCAACAAGGATTATCTGGACAGGAGGTTGCCGGATAATTTCAATGAACAGTTTGGACCATTCCATGCCAGTGTATAGATATAAAAATAACTTTTGCATATTGCTTTTTGCTCTACAATGCTGGCATAAAAGAGCAGTTGGCAAATTAGGATAAAGAGCATATTGTCTGAGCAAGAAAGGCTTGATTGGAATAGTGATGCTAACGTCATTGCTTCGTAGGCTTGTATTGTGACAATTTAACTAAACATATTGGCCTCATTAGACTCATTAAGTAGATCTGTTGTAAAGTACTACATATTAATAGCTTGCTAAGGAATAAGTAAATTTATATATTTTAACTGAGGTATACAACGGGAAACAGTGTTTGATACATCATAGGAGATATTTCAGTGTTCAGGGAATAAGAAAGGCAAAAACAAGTCCAGAAGTCTGGGAGTTGGCCTCCCCTCACCACAAGGTCAAGTCTTATGCTGTTGAAGAGACACATGTCATACATCTGCAACATGAAACAATCCTCTTTGGCCAGGCACAGTGGCTCACACCTGTAATCCCAGCACTCTGGGAGGCCGAGGCAGGAGGATCGCTCAAGCTTAGGAGTTCAAAACCAGCCTGAGCAAGAGTGAGACACTGTCTCTACTAAAAATAGAAAGAAACTAATTGGCCAACTAAAAATATATAGAAAAAATTAGCCAGGCATGGTGTTGCATGCCTGTAGTCCCAGCTACTTGGGAGGCTGAGGCAGAAGGATCTCCTAAGCCCAGGAGTTTGAGGTTGCTGTGAGCTAGGCTGACTCCACGGCACTCTAGCCTGAGCAACAGAGCAAGACTCTGTCTCTAAAAAAAAAAAAGAAACAATCCTCTTCGATGAATATGATGGATGATCAAGACAAAAACAAGGGCCATGTCTATAAAACTGGTTAATATCAGGCCATTATTAATGGGAAAATATTTTTTAAATAAAAATAAAAACTGGTGGAAGAGAACATATTTCAAATCACAAAGGAGACAAAAATTCCTCTCTTCTCAATAATATGACTGACTGGTATTTCTCATGACTTAGGTTTACCTCCACTCTATGCCTTCTCCCTTCTAGATAAGAACTATTGTGATTACCAAGGATAGAATTAAGTTTACCTCTTCACTGCATGCAATACAGAAAAATGACTTCCTTCCTTGAATAGGAAAGAATCAACCTAAAATAAGAACAAATCCTATAAGTAATTCTTCTGAGCATCTCTTACTGATACAGCACACATTCATTTATGGTTTGTGGTCATAATTATCACTATAATTTATTATGCCCTTTTTGCAACAGGTATGGTGTTTAGCAAGAAGGCACACACAACAATATGATTTAACTTTTGGTATTATGAGTACATGAGACATTACTATCAAGATAAAAGGTGTAACTATATAAGCATGAAAAGTAAAATTTACATGAGAAAAAAAAATCCTGAAGTTGTATGCACATAATATGGACTTCATAATGTCTTACAAATAACTTGCTAAAATTATAAACTTGATCTGATCCAAGACTGAAAACAGTTAATAAACTATTTCTAAGAAACATGCACAAAAATCCTGTTTGAATAAAAAATACATATTGTTTTTAATCACATACAAACATAATTGAAATTAAACTGAGACATTACATTCAGCTGTGACAGGAAACACCCACAGTCTTAAAGATATGAAGATAGTTAATTCTTACATGAAAGTACAGGGTGAGACCAGTTACCATATAGAGGAACAAGCTCCCATCTAGTTGGTTTTGATGGCAGCATTGTCGCTGTCATGCTGAATCAAGAACAGTCATTACCAGAATGAACAAAGGTGTTTACTATACAAATTAGACTTTATATCAATTCACTTTATATACTAGGGGAGTCAGAGTATCCAAGAATATATTCCCAACCATGACAGTCTAAATTGGTTGCCTATACACACACATTATAATGTCTGAAAAAAACCAGAGTGTAGATGGATATCCAATGTGGGGCTGGGCATGGTGGTGCACACCTATAATCCCACCTACTCAGTGGTCTGAAGTGGGAGGATCACTTGGAGGCCAGGAGTCCAAGGATATTCAGTGTGGGGCTTCTAGAGACATGTGGAAACCTACATCTCCAAGAAAATGGAAATCAAGTAGTTTTGAGGATATTCTTCATTGGCAAGCAAAAGAATCAGGAAAAATCGGCTAGAAGCAGGTATCTGCACAGCCTGTATGAATCTAGTTGTCTCCTTGGATGGTGTCTCCAAACCGTAACTAATGCCTTCTTCACTTCTGACTTCCAAATCTCATGGAAGATAGTTACTAGTGAATTGTATCAAGGAATCATAAATGCAATGGATTCTGGGAAATTTAGTTCCTAACACTACCAACATTGACATAAGACAATCCAGAGATCTAACTCTAACTCTAGATTTTACTGTTCTATCACATCTCTCTTAATACAAAGCTGATTATCTCTTCTTCCACTGTGAATCTTTTCATGTATTCAAAAGAAACTGAGAGGATGGAAGGTTTTCTCAAATTCCTTACTTTCATAGGGTTTCATTCAGTGTAACTCCTTTCATGGCTATGAAAGGAACTGGGACAACTGAAGGGTTAGCGTTAGGGTTCTCATAGGGTTTTTCTCCAGTATGAGTTCTTTCATGTATTCGATAGTAAGTGGAACGACTGAAGGCTTTCCCACATTGCTTACATTCATACGGTTTCTCTCCAGTATGAGTTCTTTCATGAATTCGAAAGTAACTGGAACGACTGAAGGCTTTCCCACATTTTGTACATTTATAGGGTTTCTCTCCAGTGTGAATTCGTTCATGTTTTCTAAAGGAACTGGAACAACTGAAGGCTTTCCCACAATCCTTACATTCATAGGGTTTCTCTCCAGTGTGCGTTCTTTCATGTATTCGAAATGAACTGGGAAAATCAAAGGCTTTGCCACATACCTTACATTTATAAGGTCCATTGCCAGTGTGCTTTATCATGTGTCTTCGAACACTTGCAAGACAAGTCAAGGCCTTCCCACATTCCTTACATTCAAAAAGTTTCTCTCCAGTGTGAGTCCTTTCATGACTTCGAACCGAACTGGCACATCTAAAGGCTTTACCACATTGTTTACATTCATAGGGTTTCTCTCCAGTGTGAGTCCTTTCATGTATTCGAATGTACTTGGAACAACTGAAGGCTTTACCACATTGCTTACACTCATAGGGTTTATCTCCAGTGTGAGTCCTTTCATGTATTCGGATATAACTGGAACAACTGAAGGCTTTACCACATTGCTTGCATTCGTAGGGTTTCTCTCCAGTGTGACTTCTTTCATGTATACGAAACAAACTGGGATAATCAAAGGCTTTCCCACACACCTTACATTTATAAGGTACACCGCCATTGTGTGTCACCATGTGTCTTCGAATGCTTACGAGGGAAATGAAGGTTTCTCCACATTCCATACAATCATAGGGTTTCCCTCCAGACTGAGTCCTTTCACGTACTGGAAAGGAGTGACGATAATTGAAGGCTTTTTCACACTGCTTACGTTTATATGGCTTCTCTCCATATTCCTGATACTCATTTGGTTTCCTTCCACTGTCAGCTCTGATGTGCCTATTAAGGGATGAATGATTCATGCCAACTTCTCCACACACACTGCTTCTGAGTGGTTTTACTGCAGGAGGAGTCTTCTTGTTCAGAACGTGATCTGGAACCTGGATGAAGGTTTCTCCACATTGACTACCTTCCTTACGTTCACACAGTCTCTCTGGAATATGAGTGCTGTAAAAAAATGAGAAGCACATTATTAATGGTGTGTTTATAAATGATTTTATATTTATTAATAGGTATTAGACTTATATTTTTAATATTATCTGGGAAAGTATAGGTTTTATGCCCTGTCTCAATTGTTGGAACATGAATGGACTAAATACTGCAAGATGTCATGACCATACCTATTATCAAAATATGGTATTCAAGCTGGGTGCAGTAGTTCACACCTGCAATCCTAGCACTTGGAGGTTGAGGTGGGAAGACAGCTTGAGGCCAAGAATTCAAGAGCAGCCTGAGCAACATAGTAAGACCTCATCTCTACAAAAAATAGGAAAATTAGCAGGGCATGGTGGCACATGCCTGTAGTTCCAGCTACTCAGGAAGCTAAGGCAGGAGGATCACTTGAGCCCAGGAATTTGAGGTTACAGTGAGCTATGATGACATCACTGCACATTAGTCTGGGCAACAAAGCAAGACCCTGTCTCAAAAAAAATATATATATATATATATATATATATATATATATAGTCATGTAAGGTTTCTTAATACTGTCTACAACTAAACTATCTTGCAAATACTGAACGCCTATGTCTCACTTAAATATATATTTTTGAGAAATTTTTCCAATAAAAAATAAATGTGAAGCTGGGCTTATCTGTTATGTCGTCTTGTTTTTTTTTGTTTGTTTTTTTTTTGAGACAGTGTCTCACTTTGCCCAGGCTAGAATGAGTGCCATGGCATCAGCCTAGCTCACAGCAACCTCAAACTCCTGGGTTCAAGTGATCCTACTGCCTCAGCCTCCCGAGTAGCTGAGACTACAGGCATGCGCCACCATGCCCGGCTAGTTTTTTCTATATATATATTAGTTGGCCAATTAATTTCTTTCTATTTGTAGTAGAGACGGGGTCTCGCTCTTGCTCAGGCTGGTTTCAAACTCCTGACCTTGAGCAATCCGCCTGCCTCGGCCTCTCAGAGTGCTAGGATTACAGGCGTGAGCCACCGCGCCCGGCCTCGTCTTGTTTTTAAAACTATCTAAGGTAGGCATCCTCAAACTATGGCCCGCAGGCCACATGTGGGTGTTTTTGCCCATTTGTTTTTTTACTTCAAAATAAGATATGTACAGTGTGCACAGGAATTTTTTCATAGTTTTTTTTTAAACTATAGTCCGGCCGTCCAACTGTCTGAGGAACAGTGAACTGGCCCCTTGTTTAAAAAGTTTGAGTACCCCTGATCTAAGGCCAGATGCAGTGGCTCATGCCTGTAATCCTAGTACTCTGGGAGGCCAAGGCAGGAAGATTGCTTGAGCTCCAGAGTTCAAGACCAGCCTGAGCAAGAGTGAGACCCCATCTTTACTAAAAATAGAAAAAATTAGCCAGGCGTGGTGGCATGCACCTATAGTCCCAGCTACTCAGGAGGCTGAGGCAGAAGGATCGCTTGAGCTCAGGAGTTTGAGATTGCAAAAGTGCTATGAGCTAGGCTGATGCCATGGCACTCTAGCCTGGGCAAAAGAGCAAGAGTCTGTCTCAAAAAATAAAAGAATAAAAAAATTTTAAAAAGTAAAAATATCTGACCTTCTACAATTCTCTTGAGGAAATTTGCTTTCTTTTGTGAGTGCAAATTACCTTTGATTTCTCCTGGGATTTTTGTACTTCTCTTCAATGTTCTGATCTTCCAATTTTTCTCCTAAAATGTAGACCCAGAAATGTCACTATTAATTAGCACAAGATTATAGGAAATTATTACAGTCTATGTTCATGGTACACTGTGGCCATGCCTGATCTATTAACCAAAGCATTCCCTTTCCACATTCCAAATCATTGAACAGAACTAATGAGCAAGAAGCACTTGTTCTCTAATTTATCAAGTGAAAGAACGTTGCCATCCTTACCTATAGAGGCCAGGTTCCTGAAGGTTTCTTGCATCACATCTCTGTACAGATTCTTTTGGGAAGGATCCAGCAAAGCCCACTCCTCCAGGGTGAAGTTCACAGCCACATCCTCAAAGACCAGCGAATCCTGAAACATCCCACATGTATAGGATGGATAGGTGAGACTGACAGCACTAGGGACCTATTTTTTATTACCAAGAAGTTCACATGACGCTGTGGACCCCCAACATTTATTCCATGACTTGGTTATAAGACTTACTCTCTGTCTACACTCACTTCTGTAACTAGACTAGAACTGAAGTATTTAGTAAAACAACAGCAGAATAGAAACATGCCCCTTGTTGGTTGGTGCATGGGTGCATGGGGCCCCCCAATGCCTCTTTGTACAATGGGTCTATAGTACCTGTCATAACAAAGATGTAGTAAGTGTGCAGAGAAACATTAACATTTGCAGTCCTCAGACTGTGTATCCTTAGAAATGCTTGTCCACAAAGCTTGACTTTTGATCTGGGAACTAGATTTTGGACAGGATCCCCCCAACCTAAATGACAAGAGTGTCATAACTTACTGGAAGAGAATCCCATAGCAAACTGCCTGTGGGAAGCAGTACAGGGATAGCAAAACCTTGAATTGTAAGTGATGAATTACTGAAGGCTGAGTGTGGACACATTAAGAGGGAAAAATCCAGAAGGCCCAATCTTAGTGGGCGGGCATCTCGACCAATTTATGAGCTTTACCTCCAGAGACTCTTATCAGTTCTCACAGGGAAAATCAGAGAAAAATCACTTCCTTTTTCCTGCAGGAGGAGGGGAAGAGTGGCCATTATGAAATATGCCCAGAGAATTCTGTTCTTCTTAAGTACTGCCTTCAAAACAAACTATTTCCCAAAAGCCTACCAACTGCAATGTTACCAGAGCCAAACCTCCTGGGACAAGGGGAATATCTAATTCCACTCCCTTCTATCCTTCCTGCCTCAACAAAGGAGGGGTGAGGATGAGAAATGCTTATGAAAGTCATAACCCAGGGACACAGGGTTCCTAAAATAAGGCCAAATTATAGGCCAATGAAATGCTTCCCACCTCCCCATACCTCACCTCACCTCCATATCAGACAACTGAAAGACTGCCTCACACCATATTAAAGAACCAACTAATGGGGTGACATGAAGTGGACAATTACTAGGAACACATATTCTACCAAGAATGATTCATGGAGAAATAGAAAATCTGAGTAGATCTACAACCAATAAAAGAGATCGACACATGAATCAAAATATCCCCAACAAAAAAAACCCAGGACCAAATAGTTTCACTACTACCAAATATTTAAGGAAGAATTAATACCAATTCTCCTCAAACTCTTCCAAAAAATAAAAGAGGAGGGAACACATCGGAGTTCATTCTATGAGGCCAAAATTATGCTGACAACAAAGATATACAAAGACATAACAAGAAAGAAAAAAGCAGACAAATGGCCCTTATCAATACTGATGCAAAAATTCTCAAATAAGTACTCAATGGTACAATAATCAAAACAGCTTGGTACTGTCATAAAGGCAGGGTTATAGATCATTAGAATAGAATATATAGCCCAGAAAAATACCCACACGTGAATGGCAATATGATTTTTTTTTTAGACAAAGTCTCACTCTGTTGCCCAGGCTAAAGTGCCATAGCATCAGCCTAGCTCACAGCAACCTCAAACTCCTGGGCTCAAGCAATCCTCCTGCCTCAGCCTTCTGAGTAGCTGGGTCTACAGGCATGTGCCACCATGCCGGCTAATTTTTTCTATATATATTTTTAGTTGGACAGCTAATTTCTTTCTATGTTTTTTTAGTAGAAACAGGGTCTCGCTCTTGCTCAGGTTGGTCTCAAACTCCTGACCTCAAGCGATCCTCCTGCCTTGGCCTCCCAGAGTGCTAGGATTACATGCATGAGCCACCACACCCAGCCGAGATTAATACTTTTGTAAGAAGAACCAGGAGAGCTTGTATCCTCTCTCCTCTCTGCCACGTGCGGACACAAGAAGATGGCCATCTGCAAACCAGGAAGCAGGCCCTTACCAGACACCTGATCTGCTAGAACTTTGAACTTGGACTTTGCAGCCTCCAGAACTGTGAGAAATAAATGTTATTTGAGCCACCCAGTCTACGATAATTTGATATAGCAGCCCAAAGTGACTCTTTAGCACTTCCTCTACCAAAACATCCAGGCTTTGAAATCTACACTAATCAAGACAGAATGCCATCAGCAGAGAGATGGGCAGAAAGAGCAGTGGAAAATAGCACATTCTAAAACCAAGGCATTTAAGGTACATAAACCCATGACAAAGCAGTTGTCCCATGGAATAAAGAAGTATCCCAAAAAGACATACTGTATACATCCACAACCAAATCTCCTAGAGCCCTGTCAAGATAGAGCTAGAGTTTATAATAAGTCTCTTGAAAGAGATCTCAAAAGCACATTAGAAAAAAAAATAAAACACTTGTGTAAGATAAAAGCGGAACCTTAGCCGGGCGTGGTGGCTCACGCCTATAATCCTAGCACTCTGGGAGGCCGAGGCAGGCAGATAGCTCGAAGTCTGGAGTTCGAAACCAGCCTGAGCAAGAGTGAGACCTGGTCTCTACTATAAATAGAAAGAAATTAATTGGTCAACTAATATATAGAGAAAAAATTAGCCGGGCATGGTGGCACATGCCTGTAGTCCCAGCTACTTGGGAGGCTGAGGCAGGAGGATTGCTTGAGTCCAGGAGTTTGAGGTTGCTGTGAGCTAGGCTGACGCCACAGCACTCACTCTAGCCTGGGCAACAAAGTGAGAATCTGTCTCAAAAAAAAAAAAAAAAAAAGCAGAACCTTCAGGAGACACAAGCAAATGTTTATGAGTTCACAGCAGGGAAAGTTTTCGTACATGAGAAAATAAATAGGCCCCAAAGGAAGACACTGACAAACTCAAGTCTATGCAAATTAAGAACAATCCATCAAAATGTAGAATGGAGTAAAAAGATAAACCATAATCTGGGAAAAAATATTTGCAATCCCTACAAATGAAAAAGGAAGACTGTTCGGAGTATGTTAAAACAAAAAACCCAAAAGCAATAAACCTACAAAGGAATTAAGCATAAGAATATGACTAGATGTTATTTCATAGAAGATGAAAGACCACATAGGAAAAATACTCAACCAATAGAAACCAGTAAAAAGCAATAAATAATCACACGGAGATTGTTTAATACCAGATGGACAAAAATAAATGAGTTAGATAACTTTGAGTGTTGGTAAAATACAAGAATAAACACACATGCGTGAAAGATGAGATAGTTAATTCATACATACAATCTGACATCATTCCTAGTAAATTTGAATTTATCCATAGTCTACAACCCAGAAATTTTTCCCCAATGTGTAAAAAACTGATGACATATTATCACTGGGGACAAAAACAAGAATGACATGGTCAACTAATTTAAAGTAAACCTGAAACATCTCAAGTCCCATAAGCAATGGAATGGGTGAGTAAACTGGGTGAACTACAGCCTCATACAGCAGTATTTTTGTAACAGAGGCAAACAACCACAAAAAAAAACCTTTCAGCATAATATTAATGATATATCCATGATAATATTAACCTACTAAAATTTTTAAAAAGCAAACACCAAGCAAAACACTCAGTTTCATAATTCATAGATGGTAAAACTATAAAGATAACCCCCAAAACTGAGGATCTGGTCATCTGTGGGTACAAAAAAGAGGTGACATCAGGACACACCGGAACTGCCCAAGGCCTATTTATTCACCTGGGTAGTAGGACCCTGGGTGTTTATATTCTTATTAATTAAATGAAGTATAAAACAAATCATTTTATTTCCCAAACTATCTTTGCTTATTCAGACCTTATGACTCGATCCACTTAGATTTTCAAGGAAGACAGTGAAAATATGACACTGAAATTATGGAATAAAATTCTTGAACGCTTAGGCAAACTGAGATTATATGGCAGCAAGATTCTATAAAGGAATCAAAAGAGAAACAGCTCAGAGAAGCAGCCAAGTTTCACCCACAGTTCACAAGGGAAGTCATATTCAGAAGGTGACACGTGTTCTCAAGCTTGGGGATCAGCAGGCAACCTCGCCTGTCATGACCCCTCTGAAGAACGGGCTGACCTCAGGGTAAAAAAAGTCTCTGACCTAGGATCTGATTTTGTGCCCTCCTCCTGCCCTCTCCCTCCTGCCTTCTTTCTAATCTTGTTCCCTTCTCCCTATCAAAGAAAACCCTCTTCTGCCAAACCTTTGAGATGCCTGCAGATCTTATACTTGGTGGTTTCAGTCTTTTGCAGTATTCCTTCGTCATGAATTCATTCTTTACCTAAATCCAGATGTGTTTCATTTGACAATGTCTAAGAAACAGCACCAGGATAATAACAATTACAACCTCGGACAGGGCATCCCCCCCGAACCCCATCTGCCTGTGGTCACCCAGCTTTCCAGAGCTCGAAGCTTCTCCCAGTATAAAGAAAGGGCTCCTCCCAAGGTCACTGTGAGCAGCCGAGACACCAGCAGGGAGACTCCCCAGGAAGAACCAACTGGGTCTGCAATGACCTCCCTTCACAGGCTCAACTTGGCCTGAACTTGCAGCCACTGGCCTCAGGCTTCTGTTCCCAGGCAAAGCTACTCACTTACTTTTAAAGGAGAAAATGCCCAGTGTTTAAAGAATCCAGCAAAATCACTCAAACTTAGATTTGTGGGGGTATTTTTGTGTTTTTTTTTTTGAGACAGAGTCTCACTCTGTTGCCTGGGCTAGAGTGCAGTGGCCTCAGCCAGTGCGGTGGCTCACGCCTGTAATCCTAGCACTCTGGGAGGCTGAGGCGGGCGGATAGCTCAGGGTCAGGAGTTCGAAACCACCCTGAGCAAGAGCAAGACCTTGTCTCTACTATAATTAGAAAGAAATTAATTGGCACATTATATATATAGGAAAAATAGCCGGGCATGGTGGCACATGCTGTAGTCCAGCTACTCGGGAGGCTGAGGCAGAGCGATAGCTTGAGCCAGGAGTTTGAGTTGCTGTGAGCTAGGCTGACGCCACGGCACTCACTCTAGCCTGGGCAAAAAGCGAGACTCTGTCTCAAAAAAATAAAATAAGCCCGCGCGGTGGCTCACGCCTGTAATCCTAGCACTTTGGAGGCCGAGGCGGCGGATTGCTCAAGGTCAGGAGTTCGAAACCAGCCTGAGCGAGACCCCGTCTCTACCAAAAATAGAAATAAATTAATTGACCAACTAAATATATATACAAAAAAAAAAAAATGAGCCGGGCATGGTGCGCATGCCTGTAGTCCCAGCTACTCCGGAGGCTGAGCAGGAGGATTGCCTGAGCCCAGAGATTGAGGTTCTGTGAGCCAGGCTGACGCCACGGCACTCACTCTAGCCTGGCAACAAGTGAGACTCTGTCTCAAAAAAATAAAATAAAATTTTACTTTTTCTTTTTTCCTTTCACCATATACGACCTGAAGATCAAATGAAAAAAACAATTTTTTTTTTTTTTTGAGACAGAGTCTCACTTTGTTGCCCAGGCTAGAGTGAGTGCCGTGGTCAGCTCGCTCACAGAACCTCAAACTCCTGGGCTCAAGCGATCTCCTGCCTCAGCCTCCCGAGTAGCTGGGACTACAGGCATGCGCCACCATGCCCGGCCAATTTTTTCTATATGTATTAGTTGGCCAATTAATTTCTTTCTATTTATAGTAGAGACGGGGTCTCCCTTTTGCTCTGGCTGGCTTCGAACTCCTGACCTTGAGCGATCCGCCCGCCTGGGCCTCCCAGCAAGTGAAATTTTTAATAAATTACCTATTTATAAGGAAATGCAATTTAGGCTTAACAAACCACAACCTCCAATAAACCCTTTTGACCACACAGTCAAAAAAACTGCCACCAGGCTGGACCAGCGAAGGCGACCTGCCCCACAGCGAGCCGCGCAGGGCGGAACGGGGTGGGCTTCCTCGCGCGCCGTGCAGAGGCGTCCCCGCAGGCCCTGCGACGGCCCCCAAACCACGACTGGCGTCCCTCCTTGGCGAGCCGCCGTTTGCTCAAATAAACTCGCTAATGTTTGACGCCGCCTGGGTTTCGCTTGCAACAGCAGAAGGCAGGGACTGGGACGCCCGACACGCAGCGCCGCCCCCGCGCGAACCCCACACCCCGCGTGGGGACCCTCCCCGGCGACCCTCCCGCGGCCACCGCACCACCCGGGGACACGCGGGGCCGGCGCGGGTCCGCGCGCGGCCGACAGGACGCCCGGGCCCGATCGCCGGCCGCCCACCCTCTGAGGCCGCAGGCACCGAGGCAGCTGCGCGGCGGCCACTCGGGTCCGCAGACTCGTAGCGGACCGCCGGAGGCCCGGTCCGCCACAGCCGGTTCCAGCCGGTTCCATCACCCCCTCCTCTCCCCTTTGTGTCGCCCTGCCCGAACTTCACCATCCCCGGCCCGGGGTGTGTCCCGGCGTCCTCCCTGCGGCTCCCGCGGCCGGTGCTGCGGAGACTGCAGCAGAGACACCGGGGCCTCCCGGGGAAACGGAGTCAGGAACCCGAGGGGGGCGGGCGCGAGAAACAAAGGCTCGGCGGGGTGGCGCCAGGCCCCGCCCTCCACCGGGGGGCGTGTCTGATTAGACAGTCCGCGGGGCCCCGCCCACCTCTCCTGATTGGGTAGCGCGTCGGGCCACGCCCCCCGAGGCCTGAGTGACGTGAGCGGCGACCGGAAACGCAGCGGTGTGGAGCGGCGTTGACAGGCTGCAGCCCCTGCCGCTCAGTCCCCGCTCCCTCCCCGCACCCCGCCGCAGGCCTATTTGCGTTTAGGCGGAACTCGCTCCTCCAGGCTCCCCGGAGCTGGCCTTGTCGTCTCCCTGCACCCGGTGGGCTCTTCCTTCTTCTTCTTCCTCTTGGACACGGGGTCCCAAGGGCGTGCAGGGAATTCCAGACTCGCCGTGCAATGGATGGAGCCACCGTGGCCTTGCGTCCGAGCGGGAAGGGAGCCCAGACCCGGCCAGCCGGGGAAGACCGGGAAGGCCAGGTGCCGTCCGGGGGCCAGGAATGTGGGATGAGGCGTGCCCAGGAGGACACGCCCTTCTGTCCCTGAACAAAAGGCTGCTCGTGGGATAAAGGACGCTCTCTGTGGGGTGGAGACCCGAAGTAACGTGCGGTATGAGGAGTCGTGTGGTCGCATCTGCCCCGTGAGAGCTCTACTGCTCCACGTGAGGGACTGGGGCCCATCGCTCTGAAGGAAATAGAGTCACAAGAATTTCAGGATGGAATTCGGGGTTTGGAGAGTGATGATGATGTTCCAGAAGAAGACGACTTCACTATATTTGAATAAATGTAGATTGTTGTACCGTACTTAAAAACACACACACACACCCTGAAAATAAGCCCTAGGGTGTCTTCTTGAGGAAAAATAAATATAAGACCCTGTCTTATTTTGGGGGAAGCACAGTAGTAGGATCAGCTCGGCACTCAGGGGGCTGAAGGGAACATTTATTTGTTTGTTTTTATTTTTATTTTATTTATTTATTTATTTATTTTGAACAGAGTCTCACTTTGTTGCCCAGGCTAGAGTGGGGTGCTGTGCGTCAGCCTAGCTCACAGCAACCTCAGACTCCTGGGCTCAAGCGATCCTCCTGCCTCAGCCTCCCAGTAGCTGGACTACAGGCGGGCGCCACCATGCCAGGCTAATTTTTTCTATATATATTATATTAGTTGGCCAATTAATTTCTTTCTATTTATGTAGAGACAGGGTCTCGCTGTTGCTCAGGCTGGTTTCGAACTCCTGCCTCCCGCCTCGGCCTCCCAGAGTGCTAGGATTCCAGGCGTGAGCCACCGCGCCCGGCCTGGTTTATTCTTTAGAAAAGAAACGGGATCTGCAGGTCAGGCTGCGGCCACGCGGGGGCAGCAGCGGACAAGTCAAAGCGTCGGAAGCGGCGCCCCGGCTGGTGGAGCCGCGCACCTGCCCCAGCCTCCCTGGCCAGGACGGCCGCCCCGCCCCGCACCGTCCCCCGTTGTAAAAGAGGGGGTACCATGACCCAGCTTCACCCACTTAACCCACCTTCTCAGCGGCCAACACCCCGCAACCCAACAACTGGTGGAATTCGGGGCTTGGAGAGTTATGATGATGTTCCAGAAGACGACTTAACTACATTTGAATAAATGTAAAATGAATAAATTGTTGTACCGTACTTAAAAAAAAAAAAAAAAAACATCCCTGAAAAAAGCCTAGGTGTCTTCTTGAGAAAAATAAATATAAGACCCTGTCTTATTACGGAAAACCTAAGTCACATCAGTCCCTCCCTCCTCCCTCCAGAACCCTCCATGGCTCCCACCTTACCAGGGGTAAAAGCCATCTTCCCTGCACACCCAAAGCCCCACAGATCTGCGCCACCCACCCCCTCCTCACTTCCCTGCCTTCATCCCTGCCCTTCTTCCCCCCTGCTCACTCTGTTCCAGCCACAAAAGCCTGAAATCAAACAAACTCACCACAGTGCTTGGATTTTCTCACCTTTGGGGCCTAGAAAATTCCATCTTTGTGGTTCCTTTGTAAATGTGTAGTGGGCAGGTGGCTCAGGCCTGTAACCTGGAGGTGGGAAGATGGCTTGAGGCCAGGAGTTGGAAACCAGCCTGGGCAATATAGTGAGACCCTGTCTATCCAAAAAAACTTTCCTTTTCTCTCTCTTTCTTTCTCTTTCTTTCTTTCTTTCTCTTTCTTTCTTTCTTTCTCTTGCTCTTCTTGTTGCTTGCTTCTTGTTTTGCTTCTGCTTCTTTCCTTGTTTTCTTCTTGCTTCTTCTTGCTTGCTTTCTCTGCTCTTCTTTTCTTTGCTTCTTTCTTGCGTTTCTTTCTTCTTGCTTTCTTTCTTTCTTTCTTCTTGCTTTCTTTCTTTCTTCTTTTGGACAGAGTCTCACTCTGTTGCCGGGCTAGAGTGAGTGGCCTGGCGTCAGCCCAGCTCACAGCAACCTCAAACTCCTGGGCTCAAGTGATCCTCCGCCCCGGCCTCCCAAGCTAGTGGATTCCAAGAGCCGGCCGCTGCGCCTGGCTCCTACTTTTTAATTTGGTTTCTGTTTGCACCATCATTTCTTCTTGGTGTGTACTGACCAGAGTACGTGTAGTTTGGAACCAAGATATAGTGATATAGACAGACAGGTAGGCTTAGAAACAGATACAGATAGCGTTTATCAACCTAAGATAATCACAAAGGTGAGATACTCATTCAAAGAGAGTTGATTCAATCACAAAGGTAGAGGACTGTGGTCTTGTGCAGGCTTGAAGGTGCCTTGAAGCGTTCACACTTTTGCAGAAGTTGTTTGTCAGGGATTCTCACTGGTCCACAGAAATGTCATTGGCTCGGGAGTGGCCGTACCTTGTGGAACTGCGTGACATTTACAGGCAGAGTGTGGGATTTTATGGTCACCTGGCTGCAGTCTAGAGAACTGCATAGCAAGTGGCTTCAAGAGGTGATTATTTAGCACAAAGGGGAGTGAGACGTGACTGCTGTTACTTTTATTTTTTTTTTTAGAGACAGCGTCTGGCTCTGTCGCCCAGGCTACAGTGCAGTGGCATCAACATAGCCCCCTGCAGCCTTGAACCGCTGGACTCAAGCAGGAGCCCCTCCGACAGTACTGGGTTTATAGGCGTGAGCCACCTGCCAGGCCCTGCTGTTACATTTTTAATGCCTTTCTGGGCCTGATCATTTAAAGGGCCTTACATTATTCAGATAAAAAGATTTCTTTCTTTCTCAATGTTTGATAGATCTGTGTCCCTGGCTTGTTTTATGCCAAGCCCATCTTGTAAAAACATGACTCGGACTCCATCCCCAAACCTGTCCAAACCTGTCACCCTCCTTAACTCTTGTTTCTGTGGCTCCTATAGTCCCTGCTCCCACCTCCTGACACCTACCACCAGGGCCCCATCTTGGGCTTTTGTCACATCACAGGGACCCGTCTTGGTGCCCACCTGTGTGCCCCTCCCCACCCAAGCTGTGCTGGTCAGAAGTAATGTTTAACCCCGAGACCTTACTCACCCTCTATGAGCGTGCATGGTTGTCCATTAACATCTGCTTTCATGGGTGCTCCTGGGGGGAAGGGTGGGGTCAGGGTACCCACCAGCGGTAGAGGCCAGGGAGTGGGGGAGGGGAGCTAACTGAATCAAGGTAGCAGGGGTCCCGGTGCAGTGGCTCAGGCCTATAGTCCCAGCACTTTGGGAGGCCGAGGAAGGAGGATCACTTGAATGAGGCCAGGAATTTGAGACCAGCCTAGATAACACAGTGACACCCTATCTCTGCAAAAAACAAATTTAAACATTATCCAGGTATGATGGTGCATGCCTGTAGTCCCAGCTACTCAGGAGGCTGAGGTGGGAGGATTGCTCAAACCCAGGAGTTTGAGGCTGCAGTGAGCTATGATGACGCCACTGCACTCCAGCCTGGGCCACAGAGCGAGACCCAGTTGGTAAGTTCTGGGGGGGCATTCCTCCCTTCTTTAGGACACCCCCTGCATCAACGTGAGAGCCTATCTCTAAAAAAAAAAAAAAAAAAAAAAATCCAGTTTTAGCAAAGAATCCTGCTCAGTGAGTTTAGTGATAACCCCTACTTTCCGGATCTGATCAGTTTCTTCCTCACCCTCCATCGCTCCCCAGGGGATGTCTGGTCGCCCTGGCCAGTGTCTTCAGCAAGAATGCCGTTGGGTTGGTTCAGCTAGAATCCCCCTCACACCTGATGTTTCCTCTTAGTAATTTTCCATCCACTGCCCCCCACCCTGCGGCCTGGCTCTAAGTTCCCACCCCCCCCTGCGTTCAGAGTGGAGCCTAATCGCTCCCCCTAACTGCAAGACCCCAGGCAGCAAGACCACCTATCCTGATGTTCCTGAACAAAATCGTCCTTACCCAGCTTCGACAAGTGTCATTGAATAATTTTTTCTTTAACAGGAGACAGACGGAAAACGAGACAAACAAGCCTGTGGTTTGTCCGGCAGTGATAAGAGATTCTGAGAAGATCCCAGGGTGGTGGTGCTAGAGCCAGGTACTCAGGAGGCTGAGGCCGGAGGATCTGATCACTAGAGGCCAAGAGTTCAAGGTTGCAGTGAGCTATTCTAGCCACTGCACTCCAGCCTGGGTGACACAGACAGACCTGGTTTCTTAAAAAAAAAAAAAATTGCATGGTGGCTGAAATTTTTTAACCACAATTAAGAATAATAAATTATTGTTCCCATGAAATTTGGAAGCATATGTGCAAAAATCATTTTTACATTTTATTTTTAATAAATCATTGTGTTTGACTGAAAAATAAAAGAATAATAAATTATTGTAACAAACAAGCAAGCAAGCACATTGATTATTTATTTATTTTTGAGACAGGGTCTCACTCTGTTGCCCGGCTGGAGTGCAATGGCATGATCATAGCTCACTGCAGCCTCCAATTCTTGATCCTCCTGCTTCAGCCTCCCAAGTAGCTGGGACTACAGGTGCACATGACCACACCCGGCTAATTTTTTCTATTTTTAGTAGAGATCAAGTCTCACTCTTGCTCGGGCTGGTCTCGAACACCTGACCTCAAGCGATCATGCCCACCTAGCTCTCCCAGAGTACTAGGATTACAGATGTGAACCACTCTGCCCAGCCCAAACACATTGATTTTAAAATGGGCAGAAGTGGCTGGGCACAGTGAAAGGCGCATGTAGTCCCAGCTACTGAGCAGGGAAGCTGAGTTGGGAGGATCACTTGGGCCCAGGAGTCCAGACCAGCCTGGGCGACGTGGGGAGATGTCTTAAAAGAAAAAGAAGGCCGGACATGGTGGCTCACACCTGTAATCCTAGCACTCTGGGAGGCCGAGGCAGGAGGATCATTGGAGCTCAGGAGTTTGAAACCAGCCTGAGCAACAGCAAGACCCCGTCTCTACTAAAAATAGAAAGAAATTAGCTGGACAACTAAAAATATATAGAAAAAAAATTAGCCGGGCATGGTGGCACATGCCTGTGGTCCCAGCTACTCGGGAGGCTGAGGCAGGAGGATTGCTCCTCCTCACAGGAGTTGGAGGTTGCTGTGAGCTAGGCTGACGCCATGGCACTCTAGTCTGGGCAACCGAGTGAGACTCTCTCTTAAAAAAAAAAAAAAAAAAGGAAAAGAAAAAGAAAACTTAGGCAAGATGAGTTGGAGGCAACGCTGGGGGCAGGGTGGGGCATTTTACACAAGTTAAAGAACTTGAACACAATGGGGGAGGGAGTTTCCTGGTGTCTGGGGAAGGAATAGCCCTCCAGCCAGGTGGAACAGCAAGTGCCAAGGCCCTGGGGTCAGAGTGTGTATTCAAGCAAGGAGGAGGAGTTCAGAGGAGCCAGGATTAGGGAGAGAAAGGGGAGAGGGGAGAGGGGAGGAGGAAAGGGAAGAGGTGGGGTAAGAGGAGGAGGAGGGGGCAGGACCCAGAAAAATGGCGGAAGGAGGAACTCAAGCATGGGACTAATGTCTGGGATTGACCGTTGGTGTTGGGAAAACAGGCAGGGGTGGAGGTGGAGGGAGACTTTGAGTCAAATTCTGAGCCACCCCCACAGAAAACCAGCAGGAGAGAGCTCCCCTGGGTGAACAGAGAGAGAAGAGTTTATTCAAAACCCTGGAGGAGCACGCATCTGCAGTCCCAGCTACTCAGGAGGCTGAGGAGGGAGGATCGCTTGAGCTCAGGAGTGGAGGTGGCAGTGAGCTGTGATCCAGCTGGGGCGACAGAGTGAGAGACCTTGTCTCTGAAAACAAGAACCCTGCCCTGGTAGAACACCAGAGCTACGGCAGCCAAAAATCCACAAGTTTTCATTACACGCCTTGCGCAAGACCTGGTTTATTTAATGTAATCCTGTGCACATACTTTTGTGCTTCTTCAATTAAAAAAAAAAATACAAAAAAGTGCTAACGCAAATTAAAAAGTTATAAAATAGAACCACATGTATCCCATTTTTTCTGAAGACAAACATAGGTGTAGGAAAATGAATGGACACTTTCTCCAGGCAGGGGTATTCCTGCCTATAATAACCGTTTTCTTCGTACATTTCAGCATTTGCCAACTTTTTTATGAAGACCATATAGCACAATAAGATCATACATATTGCGATTTTGTGTGATCTCAAAGTATAGGAAACATAGAAGCTAATCCCTGAAACACCCCTTTACCTACCACATGAAGAAGCAAATGCTAATATTTGGTCATAATTGCTTCAGATATTTATTTCCCCTTTTTCATGAAAGAAAACAGAAGGGATCTACTTAACGACCCCTTCCCAACCCCCTTTATCTTCTAGCCCCAACTCCTCTTCCCTCTTTTTTTCCCCAGAAAAATAACCACCCTGAATTTGCAGTGACTTTGTTCCCTGTGTTACTATTTTGTTTTCTTTCGTTTCGTTTTTTTCACTGGCAGGATCAACCAGGTTTTTCTTTTTTTTAGTTTCTTTTACACTTTATTTTTTTATTTTTATTTATTTTTTTTTATTTTAGCATATTATGGGGAGGTTTTCCCTTTTTTAGCGATGGGCTGTCACCATATTCCCCAGGCTGGTCTCACATTTAGGGGCTCAAGTGATCATTCCCCCCTCCTCCCCCTCAGTCTCCTACAGGGCTGTGTTTACATTTTGACTACAGATATTTAAGGAGGAGGTCTGCATTTATTCCAGTGGCAAAATCACTAGCTAGGCTTTTCAGGAGAAAATCCAAACAGGACATAAAGTATAAAATGGAAAGGGAACATCCATCCCCCTCACCCCAGCAACCCCCCCTACCACCGCCAGAAAAGAAAGGAATTAACAGCTGGAGTATAAATTCTTTTGGCAGTTCAAGCCCAGCAGCGCAGATTTTTTTGTTTGTTGTCCGTTTGTTTTTGAGACAGAGTCTTGCTCTGTGACCCCAGGGGTAGAGTGCAGTGGCCTCATCACAGCAACCTCAAACTCCTGGACTCACGCTATCCTCCTGCCTCAGCCTCCTGAGTAGCTGGGACTACAGGCATGCGCCACGATGCCCGGCTAATTTTTCTATTTTTTGTAGATATGAGGTCTCACTCTTGCTCAGGCTGGTCTTGAACTCCTCAGCTCAAGTGATCCTCCTACCTCGGCCTCCCAGATTGCTAGTATTACAGGTGTGAGCCACTGCGCCCAGCCAAAGCGCAGGTTTTTGTGTCTTTTTCACTGCTGTGTCACTCTATTTGGCATACAGTTGGTGCTCAATAAATATTGGATAGTTTTTTGGGGTTTGTTTGTTTGTTTTTTGAGAAAGGGTCTTGCTGTATTGCCTGAGCTAGAGTACATGGCGTGATCCTAGCTCGCTGCAGCCTCCAACTCCTGGGCTCAAGCGATCCTCCTGCCTCAGCCTCCCAAGTGGCTGGGACTATGGGCAGTCGCCACTGCTCCTGCTTAACTCTTGCTCAGGCTGGTCTCCAACTCTTGAGTTCAAGCAATCCTCCTGCCTCGGGCTCCCATCAGTGCTAGGATTACAGGCGTGAGCTACAGCACCTGGCCTATTATTTGGAATTCTTTGCAAGGAAACTTTGACGCTTCTCCTAATCACACCCATTTTAAAGACCAGGAAAGTGAGGCTGAAAATGACAGACCATCTTACAAGAGCCTGGCCCAGCCTGTGTGGCCGAGGGTCCCCCCAGAGCTCTGGGGCAGGTAAGTGTGGCAGGCAGGTGGTGGCCCCTGCTGGCGTCGGGGGACAGGGGGATGAAATCGGGTCGCCCCCAAGCTGGAGCTGCAGCCCAATCCGAGGGGCCGGGCGGCTCCCTGGGCTCCATGAGCCCATTTTGCAGATCCGGAGCCTGCGCCCGGGGGCGTGGCCGTGCTGGGTGGCCGCGCGGGGTTCCGGGGCGGGGAAGCCGGGGCGCCCGCCCTCCCCGCCGGGGCTCACCTGGGCCGGCCGGGCCGCGGGCAGGACGGGCGGCCGCCGCCCTCTCGAAGCCGGGCCGCCCTGCTCGCCGGCGCCCGCGGATCTGCAGCGGGGCTGCTCCGGCCACCGGCCCCGTGCCCGCCCCGCCGACGGCAGGTGAGACCCGCCCAGCCCTCGGCGGCGCCGCGGCCCGGGGGACGGGTCTCCGCCTTCCCTCGTCACCCACTTCCTTCCTGGTTGTCTCCGCTGTCGGGGCTCTCGGTGGGGGGACAAACAGCAAGCCCGAGCGCTGTGTGACCCGCGGCAAGTCGCCGCCCCTCTCTGAGCCATTGTCCTCGGAGTTGAATGAGGGCTCCGGCAGGGACCGGAGTGACTCGTCCCGGGTGTGCACGGGACGTGTCGCACCCCGCCCAGCGCAGGGGAGGCGGGCGGGCAGATGCGGAGCAGGCCAGATTGGCAGCAGGTGCAGGGCCACCACTGCCAGCGCTGAGGTCCCCTCCCCTGGGAGCCTGCGGGCCCAGGGAGGGGGTGGGGGCCTGCTGGTAGCCACTTTGGGTGTGAGGGTCAAAAGGCGTGGTCACATGGCTTGTCACCAGCTGCTCCTGCGTGGGAATTGGGGGTGGGGGAGGGGACTTCCCGGAAAAGTGGGGCTGCTGCTGTCTGCGTGGTTCCGCAGGGCGGCGGGGGAGGGGCGGCAGGGGGAAGACGGGGACACACACACGGTCCCACTCTCAGACGTTGTCAAATACACGTCACACACCAGACACGCAACTCACCCGAAAGACACAACACGGATGCAAGCGCACGGGCTCTCATTCACTTGGGGACGGGAGGCCCCATCCACAGAGATTCCCACCCGGTGCCACACGACAGCTGGGCCAGGAGTCACCGGCGGGCCACACAGGCCTTGCAGGCCCAGCACACAGGACTGCAGGGACACAGGCGGTGTCCCAGGCAGGCCAGGCGTGCTCAGCAGCACACAGGAAACAGACACGCCCAGATGCCCGCAGACAGACACGTAGTCGGAGAATGAGGACACACGAGATGTGCCTTGGGCACGCCACACGGCAGCCACGGCCTTGCACGCAGCCGCGCACACGCAGTCAGGCAGACGTGCGTAGACACACGGGACACCTTGGGCCCACAGCACAGACGAGCCCCTGCTGGCCGCAGACCCGGAGGCCGTGGGGGCCCAGACCTCTGCCCTGATCCCGTGTCCAGCGCTGGGGAAGTCCACGGCTCACATGACCCAAAGGGGAGGGCTCCCGGGACAGTCCTTGGAGAAACTGCATCATCCTCCCTGATGATCTGCTTCCCCGCCAGGAAATAAAGGCTCAGCGACAGCCAGTTGTGCCCTGGAGCCCACTCGCCTCTCGGAGTCCCCACTGACCGGCTTGTGCCTTCCCCAGGGTGAGTGCTGGGCAGGTCTGCGTGGGGGACAGTGGAGTGGGCCTGCAGGGCCACCCTTCCTGGCCCCTCCTCGGAAGATCCCCCCGCCAGCTCGCGCAGCTGTGTCCCGGGAGCTAGGGCCTGAGGTCCTCCCCTCTCTGAGAGCAGGGCAGGTGGGGCACCTCAAGGGCTCGCTGTCCCTGTCACAGCCTGGGGCACACAGCACTCGTCTCTCCCCTCCCAGATGGACACGCGGCCGGCGCTGCTCGTCCTGCAAGCCTTGCTGCTGCTCCCCGTGCCCGGCAGTGCTGCCCCTGCCCTGCGCTTTGTGGCCGTGGGTGACTGGGGAGGTGTCCCCAACGCCCCGTTCCACACGGCCCGGGAAATGGCCAATGCCAAGGAGATCGCCAGGACCGTGCAGACCCTGGGAGCAGACTTCATCCTGTCCCTGGGGGACAACTTTTACTTCACCGGCGTGCAGGATGCTAATGACAAGAGGTTCCAGGTCTGTGCCCAACAGAACGGGGACAGAGGGGACAGTGAGGAGAAGCCACCTGACCTGGTGACCTTCCTCTGGAGAGGGGAGAGGGAAGCCAATGGGGCACCTTTGGGCACCTGGAACACGCCCTTCTTCCCGGCCCCTGAGTTGGGGACACCATCAGGGTAGCTGCTGACCCCAGAGGACGGGGTGGGGACCTCTTCTGTCTGCTCCAGGAGACCTTTGAGGACGTGTTCTCCGACCGCTCTCTCCGCAACGTGCCCTGGTACGTGCTGGCCGGAAACCACGACCACCTCGGCAACGTCTCGGCGCAGATAGCGTACTCCAAGGTCTCCAAGCGCTGGTGAGCCCCCAGCTCCACGCCCTCCCCAGCCCACGCTCCGCGCGACACAAGGACCCTGTGGCTTGCGCTGCCCGTGGGGCTTCTGTGCCCCAGATGTGCACCTCGACCTCTAACCCCCCCCCCACAGGAACTTCCCCAGCCCCTACTACCGCCTGCGCTTCAAGATCCCACGCACCAACGTGTCTGTGGCCATCTTCATGCTGGACACGGTGACGATATGCGGCAACTCGGACGACTTCCTCAGCCAGCAGCCCGAGAGGCCCCGAGACCTGGATCTGGCCCGCACGCAGCTGTCCTGGCTCAAGAAGCAGCTGGCGGCGGCCAAGGAGGACTACGTGCTGGTGGCCGGCCACTACCCCGTGTGGTCCATAGCCGAACACGGGCCCACCCGCTGCCTGGTCAAGCAACTTCAGCCGCTCCTGGCCACATACGGGGTCACTGCCTACCTGTGTGGCCATGATCACAACCTGCAGGTGAGGGTCCTGGGGCTGGGGCGGGAAGGCAGGGGTGGAGTCCCCATCCTGGCCAATGTCCACAAGCCTGGGGTCCTCCTGCTGTTTGGGGGCCTCCGGTGGCCTCCTGAATGTCTATACTCTCTGTGGCCCTGCGTAGAGCGCAGTGGTGTCATTGTAGCTCACTGCAACCTTGAGTTCCTGCCTCAGCCTCCCGAGTAGCTGGGACTACAGGTGCGTGCCACCACGCTTGGCTAATTTTTCTATTTTTAGTAGAGATGGGGTCTCACTCCTGGCTTGACCTCCCAGAGTGCTAGGATTACAGGCATGAAGCCACCGTGCCTGGCCTCTTCTTCAAATTCCATCTGTCTAACCGGAGACTTTTGCGACGTCTCCCCAAAGCCAGCAAAGTGTTCTGCCTGTGAAATAGGATTAACGTATCCTACAAGTTGGGAAACTGAGGCCAGGAGGGCTTATGTACCTCAAGTGACCCTGGGGTCAGGGCCAGACCTGGCTTGGGACCCGAGGCCCCTGGTCAGCCCTCATTCGAGGCTGGGGGCCCCACCGACCCGTGTCCTCTGTCCCCAGTACCTGCAGGATGAGAACGGCGTGGGCTACGTGCTGAGCGGGGCTGGCAACTTCATGGACCCCTCAAAGCGACACCAGCGCAAGGTCCCCAACGGCTACCTGCGCTTCCACTATGGGGCCGAGGACTCGCTGGGTGGCTTTGCCTACGTGGAGATGAGCCCTAAAGAGATGAGTGTCACTTACATCGAGGCCTCGGGCAAGTCCCTGTTCAAGACCAGCCTGCCGAGACGACCACGGCCCTGAACCCCGACAGGAGCCCGGCCCTGAGGCCTGAGGCAGAGGGGGCTCCCCATTGCTGGGTGGCGGGGCCCCGCGGGGACCTTGGGGCTGCCTTTGTCTTGGGTCTGTGGCAATGCAGCAGAGCACTGTGGCGCCACGTGGTCCCAGTGGCACAGATGCCCACGTGTGTGAAACACGCATGGCCACGCGTCCCAGTCGCAGCGTCACGCCCGTGGCTGCAGCTCGCCTCGGCCGAGTTTCGGGGACTGGGGGGCGGGGAGGGAAAGCTGCCTCCTGAATCCAGCATCTTTCTGTCACTGACACTCAATAAAAGAATAGTTGCCAAGGCCGAAAGAGTGCCACGCGTGCGGTGTCTTCTGCGCGTCCGTCCCTCAGCCCCGTGCGTGACCCACCGGCCACCCAGGGATGCTATTTTGCATAAAAACCAAGCAGAAAGAAGGGTACAACCAAAGCATGGCTTCCTGGGGGACCAGATCTGCAGTGTCCCCAGTGTGCTCCTCCCCACAGTCAACCACCATCAATCAGTTCCTTCCCTTCTACAGTTGATGTTTCCATAATAAAAACATTCCCTTTGTAAAAAAAAAAGAAAAAAAAAATTTTTTTTTTTTTGAGACAGAGTCTCACTGTGTTGCCTGGGCTAGAGTGCCATGGCATCAACCTAGCTCACAGCAACCTCAAACTCCTGGGCTCACGCGATCCTCCTGCCTCAGCCTCCCGAGTAGCTGGGACAACACGCATGTGCCACCATGCCCGGCTAATTTTTTCTATATATATTAGTTGGCCAATTAATTTCTTTCTATTTATAGTAGAGACAGGGTCGCACTCTTGCTCAGGCTGGTTTCGAACTCCTGATCTTGAGCGATCCTCCCACCTTGGCCTCCCAGAGTGCTAGGATTACAGGTGTGAGCCACTGTGCCTGGCCAAAAAATAAATTTTTTTCGAGGTGGGGGCATGCAGAGGGTCTCTCTATGTTCCCCAGGCTGGAGGGCAGTGGCTGCAGCTCCAAGCTCCTGGGCTCCAGCGATCCTCCCACCTCAGCCTCCCGAGGAGCTGGCACTACAGGTGTGCCACTGCAAAAAACGGTCCCATTCTGTACACCAAAGCAACAAAACCATACAGAGTGCTGCACCTGTTCCTTCTACTGAGCCACAACTTTTCAACCGAACACTCGCGTTTGTTGATTTGAATATGGAACCAGTAGTGCGTTCACATCGTTCAAACACCTAAAGTTTGTAGAAGGATGGGACCTCTGACCCCCTCCCTGTCGCTGTTCATCCTAGTCCTTCTGTGTCTCCTAATAGGAAATAGCTTTCTACATAAATGCCTTGGGTTTCCTGTGTTTTCTTCAGCATTTTTTGTAAAACAAATGAAAGCAAATGGCGATTTTTTTCCCCCTCCACTTTCTCATTGAATTGCAGCTTGCTTTTTTTTTTCTCCCCAGAGACAGGGTCTCGCTCTGTCGCCCAGGCTAGAGTGCGGTGACACATCGATTATAGCTCACTGCAGACTTGAACTCCTGGGATCAAGTGATCCTCCCAAAGCCTCAGGATTGTAGGCGTGAGCCGGCTCACGCCTGTAATCCTAGCACTCTGGAAGGCCGAGGTGGGAGGATTGCTTGAACTCAGGAGTTTGAAACCAGCCTGAGCAAGAGCGAGACCCCATCTCTACTATAAATAGAAAGAAATTAATTGGCCAACTAAGCTAATACATCTAGGAAAGAAATTAGCCGGGGATGGGTCATCTGTAGTCCAGCTAGCTCCAGGAGGCTGAGGCAGGAGGATTGCTTGAGCCCAGGGAGTTTGAGGTTGTTAGCTAGGCTGACGCCATGGCACTCACTCTAGCCTGGGCAACAAAGTGAGACTCTGTGTCAAAATAAATAAATTAACAACTGCAGCTGGGGGCAGTTGCTCATGCCTGTAGCCTGTAGTCCCAGCACTTTGGGAGGCTGAGGTGGGAGGACCGCTTGAGGCCAGGAGTTCAAGGCTGCAGTGAGCTATGATGGTGCCACTGCACTCCAGCCTGGGTGACAGAGGGAGACTCTGTCTCTAAAAAAAAAAAAAAAAAAATGTAACCAAAGTTACTTCTGAGAAGAGGGACTTAGAGGAAGTGGCACCTTCCACTTGCTACTTTGTAGATGTTGAAACTGTTGCATTTGTTACAAGGTGCATGTGACTGTTATACTTTAAGCAAAGCCATCTCACTGAAATGCCAGCCCTGAGTTTGTTCCAGCTGACAGTTCCCACCACTTCTGCTCCTGACCCAGGACGCAGGGGCCAAAATCATCCTCGTTTCTCAAAGGACATTATAGAAGCTTGGACCATTTGGGTTTGGTT